AAGTCAGAACTGACTCAGTGGCACAAATGGCGAATCGGGTAACACAGATGAAAGGGACCAACACACGGCTGTGCTGTAAGGAATTTCACTCAATGTACCCTTTGATGGAAGGACTCAAAGCTTCATCTCACATCCGTGGGCACGTTGCTAGGAGTCCTTGGAGAGGGACCTCACGCTTGGAAAGGTGGAGGGTCAGAGAAAGGGAGGAAGACCCTCAACAAGGCAGATGCACACAGTGACGCAGCAAAGGACTCACATGTGACAGGGATGTGAGGGTGGCCAGGAGAGGAGACAGTTTAGATCTGTTGTTCAAAGGGTCGCTAGGAGTCATATTCGATTCAGTGGCTCCTAACGGCAACAATAATAAAATTGGGTTTTGTCTCCGTATCCTGAGATGCTGCCCATGAGCTCTGGGAACCTCCCGCCTAACTGTGGTGCCTCCGTTACCTAGAGTCCAGGCCACGGGAGAGGGTCTGTGCTTGTGGGCTGGGAGCTGGCCAGACCACAGGACTCTCCCAGTCGCCCAGTGACCCCTGACATCAGGAGACACGGTCTACCCTGTCACGGACACGCAGTGAGGGATCAGTCACGCCGGGCTGAGAGAAGCTGGGAGCACCTGCTGGGGGGGTGAGGGGAGGACGGGGGCCCTCGGGGATGCGGGAGTTCTGTGCTGGGCACCCTCCCAGCCTTCGTCTCCTTACGAAGATCTGAATGAGCAACTTTTTGCTGTAACAGCTGCTGGTAGAGTGCCCGCTGTGAATCAGCCCAGCAAACTGTCCAAGCCCAAGGAGAAGGGGGCAGCAGTGACGCTACCTGAGGCTAAAGGGCGGGGTTTGAACCTGGGAGTTGTGCCAATGCCAGCGTCAGGGAGAGGGGGCCTGAGACGGTGCCCACACAGGCAGGGAGTGTCGGAGGAGGTGAAGACAGGACCAATCCAGACCTTCTGGGAGTGGATTCACGCGGACTCCTGCCCACGAAGGGCCAGAACAGAGATCGACGCAGGAGAAATGAGAGGGTCTGACTAGAACTGTACCAAGAGGTTGAATGGGTGATCAAAGCTTTTCCCCAAAAAGCCCACCAGGACCAGGTGGTTTTCACAGGTGAATTCTGTTGTTGTTGTTATGTGCCGTCGAGTCGTTTCCGAATTCTACCAACCATTTAAAGATTTAACAACAATTCTTTTTTTTTTTTTAATTTATTTTATTGTTTTCTGTGTGTGTACCGTCAAATTGGATCTGACTGGTACAGGAGGAGACGGCCCCTCCTTCTCTGGCAGAGCATCTGGTGGAATCGAACCACGTATCTCTGGGATTGCAGTGCAGCTTCTTGCCACTAGGCCTCCAGAGCTCCCCTTAACAACAATTCTTAATAAACTTTCCAAAAATGTGAAGAGGAACATTTTTTTAACTCATCCCATGAGGACAGTATTACTGACACTGAAACCAGAGCTTTCATTGTCTCAAACAGGAAATCAGCAAGACCCCTCCAGACCCGTATCACTGCTGAATGTAAACACAAGATCTCCAATGAATAACGAGCAGATCAATCCAGCAACAGATCAAAATGCAGTCATCAGAAAAACGAGAATTCAGAACTCCTTTTGGACCACGACCTCTGTTGGTAGAGCAGGAGGAAAAGGAGCCCTGAGCCTGAGAAAGGTTGTCTACAGGGACCCCCACAGCACCAGTCTAACGGTGGGAGGTGAATGCTCTCTCCTGGGAGGCAGGAACAAGACATGATGGTCACTCAGCTTGGACCAGAGGAGACAGCCAGGACAGCAGGCAACCACTCAAAGGTTCTAGGTTGCAAAGGAACTGGTCAAACTGTGACACTCTAGACAGGAAATGCAAAGGAATCCGCCAGACACCCCCAGAATTAAACTAAAGCGGGCACAGCAAGGGTGTGGGATACACGATCAACATACACAAGTCTACCGTATTTCTATCCATGTCTAACCATCATCAACAATAAAATTTTAGAAATCCACTTATTATCGAGTTTAAAAAAGACTTGGAAAGAAACTTATCAAAACGAGGGCACCAGCTGTACAATGTAAACTTGAGACAGGGAACTCACTTGGACAGCAGGGGGGACAGGGAAGGGCTTGAAGAGACGGGGTGCCAACAGGCCCCTCTGTTGATGTTGTTGTTGTGTGCTACAGCATCTGAACCCCCTCACGGCTGGTCCTCCAGCTGCTTCTCAGAGGCAGTAACGGCACTGGGGGGACTGCTCACCCTTTTTCTCCCGTGGGGCAGTTGGTGGGTTCTGACTCAAGACCTTTGGGATTGCAGTACAACTTCTTACCACTAGGCTACCAGGGCTCCCTGATCACAGTAAGTAAGTATACAGAACAGAGTGACAGTAATTACATAAAACACAATGTAAAAGATTACATAAAACACAACGTATCTGCACAAAACACAATATATATGAATGAATAAACACAAACCCATATAAAAAATGTAAAAGATCCTATAAAACATGATTTTAAAAACCTCCCATGTTCATGGAATGAAACAAAACTTTGGATCATTACGTTGGCAATGTTCCTCGTACTGATCTAGATTCACTTCAATCCCTCTTAAAACCTCAGACACTTTTTTTGGGAGTCTATTTCGAAACTGATAAATTGATTGCAAAGTTCATATAGAAACTCAAGAAATCTAGAAAATCACCTTGGGGAGGGGAGAGCTGGAGGGGTCACACATCTCGATTCCCAATCGTTATAAAACAGGCGTAATGAAGGTTACGTCACTGAACACAAAGATCTATGCAGACTTTTTAGACTGTAGCATCACAGGCTAAAAATCAGCCACGCACTTAAGGCCAGCAGGTCTGATATTTAAAGTCAAGTGATGTTCAGCAAGGGCTCCAGGGTCACTCTGTGAGAAAGAGGACTCCTCAAGAAATGGTGCTAGTAAGACGGTCCCTCCCTCACACCATATACAAAGACTGACACCGGCAAACGCTAAACCTGTGTAACTCCTAGGGGGAAAACCGAGCAAATTAAAAAACTTCTATGGTGACTCAACGGCACATAACAACAACATGCTTAATAAGGCAATTTCTTATTAATAAATATGTAAATTTGTCTTTTTTAATAGAAGTTAAATAATTTATGAATAAAGATAATAAACAATACATTTTCTTATTCTATATTGTGGGAATGATTCTATATCAACATTATAATTTTATACCATTTTTTAAAAACTAAATTTTAGTGGTTCAAATCCACCAGATGCTCTGCTGGAGAAGGAGGAACAATCTCCTCCTGTACCTGTCAGATCTGATTTGACAGTACACACACACACAAATAATAAAATAAAAAAAAAAACCCCAAAAACCTAAATTTTAACTTTTTTAAAATTTTTTTTTAGCCAACCTTTTATTGATGGATGGAGCTCTGGTGGCCTAGTGCTTAAATAGCTGTGCTGTCAACTCAAAAGTAAGGCGTTCGGATCTACCAGCTGCTCCAAGGGAGAAAGGTGGGCAGTCTCCTGTGCGTTTACAGCCTCTGCAGCCCACTGGAGGGTCGGCTATGCCCTGGTTCCAACCAGATGGCAATGAGTTGAAGGGAGTCAAGATTCCCAAATCCTGTTCCGGTCTAGAGTCCAGATACATAAAGAACTAAAAAACGACAACTGAGGACAATCCGGTCAGAACAGGAAAGGGATGTGAAAACGCCTATTTCCAATGACATAAAAACATCCATTAAAACAAAATTTGTTACACAATTTTGAGAACCACGAAAACAAAGCTTAATGAAGGGACCAAAAATAAAAAAGCCAAGGAACATATGAATAGAAACGATAAAAATATTGCTAATCTTTGGGAAAATATAAGTCTCTTATATAGTGAAAGCTCATCTCATCTCACCGCTGAAGTCATCGGGAGACAGTGACCCGTGTGGAAGCGGAGGCTGGTCGGGAGGGAAGCCTGAACTGCTGCTGTCATGCCACAGCCTCTCAGAACTGCTGCTGTCATGCCACAGCCTCTCAGAAGCCACAGGCTCAGCCCTTCCGCTCAGAGCTACATAACCCGCCAACGGAAGTGTCCTCACACACACGTGTGACGTGCACAGCTGCATTACCAACGGAGAAGCCAAGTGACAGAAACACACATACCAACAATTACGTTTTGTGAGACGCTGAGAACGAGCGAGTCCGCGGGCAGAACACAGACAGTGGCTGCGCACAGCGCGTAGACCCTGATATCACAGCACCGAGTACCCGGCTTTAACCGAAAGGCTGGCACGTGGCATCCAGAGGCTCGGTTCTGACGCACATTCCTGTTGGATGGGTCAGGCTTGGCTCATGGCACCTCCTGGGCTGTGATTCTTCCTGAAGCCAGGGTGTTAAAAATGGTGTAAAAACTGACTGTGGCTATGAAGGCACTGTCACTACGTAAAGACCGCTGCTGTGCATTCAGAAAGGGGGAGTTTACGGGATACAGGAAGTGGGATACAGGCTTCACCTCAATAAATGTGCTATTAGAAGGAAGTGAGGCAGCTCCGTCTTCTGACACGGGACAGCGTCCGAAGCGTTTGTGGAGCTGGGATTGCTGGCACCATCCCCGCAGAGCCCCACGTCTGTGTCGTGTGTTCAATACGGCACTTCTGTGTCAGCATGGGGCCTCACCTCCTGGGAGGAGTATGGGGGTGAAGGGGAGCATCTGACCACAGCATGTGCTGGACACTGAGCTGTGTGTTTAACCCTCTTCAATGACACACCACGGAGCACAGCCTGCAGTGACAGGGCACACGGGGTGTCCGCGGGGCCAGACCTGGAGCCCTGACAGAGGGCCAGTCCACCTGGCCGGAGAGTTCCGGCAACAGGACATTCTATTCAGTCTGCACCCCTAGCCCCGCCTCCTCAGGGTAGGGCACAGAAGATCTCAGATGCCCAACCAGGTTCAGCCTCAAGGTTACAGCCTACACACGCCAGCAGCAGGAAGAAGCGGATGGCCAGAGTGGACCACACCTTGCCCAGAGGCTCAGTCCTTTAATTCAGCGCATAATTAAACTGGTTGGCAAACTTTTCATGCTTCCTCCGGTCCATCTGGTTCATGGCTGTGATGACCCTCCGCATGGAGGCCCTGCGGGGACAGCAAACCGGGCGGTGACAGTCTGTGACAAGCAGCTAACCTGGGCCCCAGACAGTGTCACAGCAGCTGGCCTCCTCTCTCGGCTTGCAGCTGTGTCACTGTGGGCACCAGCAGTGTGTGGCCACCAGGACGAAGGGCTGCTCTCCTCAGAAGCCTCTCCTTCACCCCACTGGAGCTGTCCAGCTCACCAGAAACCAGGACGATGTGGCCAGCTGGGGAGGGTCCCTAACCAGCAACATGTCCACCCCCTCGGGGGTGTCAAGCTCTGAGGCTCGCCGTCCCGTCCATCTGCCTGTAGGGGACACCCTCTCCGAGCCCCGTTCTGTGGGAATCACCTTCCGCCCACCCTGGGACCCAATCTGACTGGCCTGGGAGAGCACCCAGTCTGAGGTGCGGGGGATGTGGGGGGAACTGGGGAGTACTGGGGGGTACAGGGCTCATGGGAGCCTTACTTGTCGAAGACCTTCTTCCCGATGCGCGCCCGCGCCGTGTCGGCCTGCTGCTTCAGATCTGTGAGGTGGGGGTACTTCTTCTTCTTCCCCTTGCCCTTGCCCTTGCCCTTGCCGTCGTACCGGGAAGAGCCCAGGTCCACCTTGGTAGCGGCCTCAACGTCTCTCATAAACTCCGGGTCCTGCCAGTCTGGGAACAAAACAACAAAGGTTCCCAAAAGATGTGGCACTGACCGGCCAGGGACAGCCCCGTGGTCAGGGACAAGTGGTCTGCTCATGGCCGGGCCTGTTCCTGAGTGTGGACACTGTCTACCAGCAGGGGGAGGGCAAGAAGAAGGCACAGTCCATTCCCACGGCCCTGCGTCCCCATGGCCCGGGGAGCCTGGGGAGGCCCGTGTGGGGCTCTGTCCACGTCCACTCTCCTTTCCGCTGGGAAGGGCAGGGTGAGTTCACTGGCAGGTGCCTCTGTCCTGGGGCACCAGGTGGCCATCTAGTCACAAGGGCCCCACAAGGCGTGCAATTTCAAAGACTCAGAGACAACAGAGGCCTTCTGTCCCTCCACATGGACAGCAACTGCCCTTCCCCATAGGTCCAGTGGCGTCTGTCATGGTCACTAGTACAGTGCTGAGACGTGGGGCTTATGGGCAGAGGTGGCATGCTGTGGCCACGGGAGGTGGACGGCAAGAAGCCTGAGGGGCAGTGGGGATAATGGACCTCCTGGCCCTGGATCCTGGCCTGGTTGCCTGAGCCTCCCACCCACAGGGAGGCGGTCATGATGAGAACACCCCTCCTCGAGCCTCGGGGTGGGCAGGGGCAGCCCTGTGCAGGAATACAGGCCGAGGGCTGGCAGCTGGCCTGGGGTCTCTGCTCCCACATCCCGGGAGGCGGCAGGCGGGAGGCCTTGCTGGGCTGGCTGTCCGGTTCAGGCGGGTAGTAATGCTCCAGGCCCATGAGATGGGGGCCGGACGCTCTCCAGTCCATCTGTCTGCGCAGATCCCAGCCCCGGCCCACAGCCGAGCACGCAGGCAGATCCCGGAGCGGGGACGGAGGCAGAGCCCAGACAAACGGATGGCCAGGCCTCCCCGAGTGGATTTTTTTTGAAGTGAAGGACGGTAGGGCCGCACAATTCAGATACAGGAACGATTAATCCAAGATTAAGGAAAACTGTCTAAACAGTTTATCTCCCAGTAATAAGAAGGCGTCACAGTTTAGGAACCCGGTGAATGGAGCAATTGTTTAAACACAAGGAAAAAATGCCGGCACCCAGTAGAGATGGAATGAGCGTCTCAGGAAAATGAAGGGGCAATTTAAAAGCCTTTGAAGAAAATCAATAGATGCCGGGGCCGCGTGGCCTTCCTGGGTGCTGACGGCCGGGCTGCGCGCATTGTCACCGGGGTGAGCTGGGGGAAGAGAATTGCGCTGGGCGAGCATGGGGAGGCGGGGATCAATACTGTCGTTAGTAAAGAGATGCTATTTCACATCTGACTGGCCAGCGGCTGGCCGGCCTGCCGCCCCACACCTGTTTGTTAACAAGTCACTGAGGGCTGCAAAACCAGATACTCTTCAGAGCTGACACAAAAAATGGGCACTTCATTCACTCCGAGCGTGAACCACCAGGGAGGGCCTCGCCCCTCAGATTAACAGGTCAGGCCCTCCCTGCACCATCGTGGCCGGGACTGAAACCAGCGCGCGTCTCCTGTAATCACAGCAGGGACTGCTGATGACAGACAGAGCCAAGAGCGGGGACAGGCCGCTGCCGGACACCCCCCTGTGAGCACGACTGTGCACTGGTGGAGCTGGGGGCCTGCTGCCCGCTATGGGGCACGAAGCTGGGCAGGAACCATCCACCAGCCCCAGAAAAGACAAAGGCCAATGCCCAGACACCACCGGCTGGGTCAGGGGACTGGTTCTTGGGCACACCACCAGCCTGCCACCCCATCCTGCCCTGTAAGGAACCCGCTGCTCCAGGAGCGCACAGGGCCTGTGGCAGCACAGTGTGTCCTCGAGACAGCCAGGGACACCCTGAGATGACACTGTAGGTGGCTGAAGCCCACTAGTGGCCAAGGACCCCAAAAGACTAAGGCGTCTGTGAAGACCTGCCTCTGTCTGTGTCTGCACCCCAAGGCCCTCCTGGGTCTTCCTGGGTCCTCTCCCCAGACACACAGACACGTGTACGGACCATGCATACTCACCCCACCCCTTCCTCCCCAGTCCAGGAATACCTGTACCCTGCTCCCCCTGCCCAGTGCAGGAATACCTATACTTTACACACTCTCTCTCGCAGACAAACACACACAGAGCCCATCTGTCTCACACGCACCTGTTCCCTGCACATGCGCGTGCACACACCCACATCCCCACGCAGCCACACATCTTACTCCAGCCTCCAGAATATCACCCTCTGCTCTCCCCATTCCACGTGACCACAGCGTGCAGGTTGGAGTGGGTGCCCGGACTGGGCCCCCTGCAGGGTGCAGTGCTGCCAATCAACCCACCCCGTTCATCAGAGCAGGCGGGATGTGGTGTGATGAGAAGTGTGCAGGGACATGGCTTCCTGGGAAGGGCACTGGGCACCATTAACCAGCCACGCTCGCCCTGAGCCTGCCAGCTGTTTAATACCAGATGAGGCAGCGCGAGGTGGCAGTGGGCCCTGCAAGAAAAGCCCCAGCGCCCATGAGATGCGGAACCACATTCTTCAAGGCACAAGGGCGGCGGGGTCACGTCAGGAACGGGGTGCTGAGAGTGGGGCGCTGTGTGGCCCAAGGCTGCACAGAGCAGGCACATGTCCATGGAGACCCCCCAGGACCGCATCTGCCCGGCTCACACCACCCTGCACCCCGCCCTCCTCCGGCCTCCACACCTACCTGGGCGCTCGGCCTGCTTCTGCAGCTGCTGCCTCTGCTCGCGTGCTCTGTCATCTGGGTCCAGCGGCTGCCCCCGGTCATCTCGAGGGATAATCTTCCCATGGAAGGGACACTGCCGAGGACAGTAGGGTGGTGGGAGGGCAGCAAACCAGGAGGGACCACGTGCTCTAGTCACCACCCACCACAGCCAGGACCAGGCAGGCGGCAAGGACAGCCTGCAGTGACAGGTACTCTGAGCAGCAGCGGTGTGGGGCAGGCGGGATGGGCACTGCCCCTCAGGGAGCGGGCCCTGCCCAGGGAGGGGGCAGAATGCCCAGGGCAGGGTCAGCAGACAGGGGTACTTCCATGGGGGGGGAGACTGCTCCGCAGCACCGAGGTGGAGGCGGAAGGCGCCGGCTCCTTCCTCCGAGCCGTCCTCCCCTGAGCCGCCCGCCAGCCTCTCCTCCGAGGCCAGGCCTCACCTTGAGCCAGTCCTGGTGATCACAGAGCCGCCCGCCGGCCTGTCCTCTGAGCCGTCCTCCCCTCTGAGCCGCCCCCATTGGCCTGTCCTCCAAGCCGTCCCCTGAGCCAACCACCGGCCACCCCGCCGAGCCCGGGCCTCACCTTGAGCCGGTCCTGGCGCTCACAGAGCCGCCCGTCGGGCCGCAGGGCGCGGCATCGGTGCTGCACCGGCTCGAAGCGTCCCGCGAAGGTGATGTGGCGGCTGCGCAGCATCTCGGAGACGTCCGCATTGTCCACCTCCTCGTCCACCTCGCTGGGCTTCCAGAAGCGATGCTGAGAGTCAGCTCTGGAAGGCCAAGCCAGATCTGCTCGGGACCCTGTGTGTGGACCACCTCGCCCAGCAGAGAGACCCCAGACCCCCACCCAGAGCACCCCGCCCAGCATAGAGGTGAGGGTACAGAGACCCCACACCCACAGAGCACCCCACCCAGCATAGAGGTGAGAGTATAGAGACCCCAGACCCCCACCCAGAGCACCCCGCCCAGCATAGAGGTGAGAGTATAGAGACCCCAGACCCCCACCCAGAGCACCCCGCCCAGCATAGAGGTGAGGGTACAGAGACCCAAGACCCCCACACCCAGAGCACCCCACCCAGCATAGAGGTGAGAGTATAGAGACCCCAGACCCCCACCCAGAGCACCCCACCCAGCATAGAGGTGAGGGTACAGAGACCCCAGACCCACACCCAGAGCACCCCGCCCAGCACAGGGGTGAGGACATGCATCGGGTTGAGAGCACAGTGACCCCAGACTCTGGTCCACAGTGCACACTCTTCCCAGTCACCCAGGGGCCTACACTGGGGCATGGCTAAAGACCCCAGAGCCCCTCCACCGAGGGAAGGGCAAAGGTTGACCCCTGAGATCTCTCAAGGTCACCTGGTCTAATGTACGCTCTGGTCAGCCCAAGTTAAAGTCCTGACAGCAACATGAACTAGGCATGCAGCTGGTAGACAGATTGTCTATGATCTTTTTAACTCGCTCCAGTCAGGGCCCCTCCCACCTGGTCACCCAGCACCCAGTCAGGGCCCCT